AACTAACACTCATGGAACATTTACTATATGCCAGGCACTGTTCTAAGAGCTTTATGGATTTTAACTCATTTAACTCTCAGCAGTCTGGATCCAGAGTCTAAACTTCTCAGGGAAGAAAGAGAACTGGAATTCAAACTGTTTTGAATAACTCCTAAGTCCAGAATTTCATTTAATCCCCATTTTCAGATAACAACATGGTTGGATTTTCCAGAAGATGGTTGGTCATTTTACCTGGGTACCATTAAATATGTTTTAGGGAGAAATATTAGAATTTCAAGAGCCTGATACCCAGAATTTTTGTCAAATTGTTCCATATCTTGAAAATGGGTCCAATCTGCTTTATGAAGGTGAGCCAGAGGGACTCTAAGTGTCGCCTTCTGAAAAAGAACTCTACACAGCCTCTGTGTAAAATCTGCTCACTTTCCTTGGTAGAAGTGACTCAGTGCTAGATCTTCTCTTCTCAGTAATGGAAAAGCATACGAGTTGAGGCTGTTAATGGTGAAACTCAAGTGCACAATGCCTGGGCATAGTGATAAACAGATTATAGGTGTTGTTATCAAACCTGCCAAGCTCTCATACACTTCATCACATTATTCTTTTATTTTCTTCATAATCGTAAATATTCACTAAAATCATTTTTAAGTTTTATTTATTGTATGTCTTCTGTACTAAAAGAAATATATCTCTGTCTTTAAGAGCCAGTTCGAATTTCTTAGAACGGTCCTTAGATGATACATTAGATGTCAATAAGACTTCCTGAATGATTAAATAAATGCTACTCATATCATTTATTTTCCGGGGATTTTGTGGTCCTGTGTGTGATAAGGCCTGTGAATGGTTAATTTCACTTCCCTTTTTCTAGCAGGCATAACCCATTTGGGATTGTCCATACTGCCTACTTTCTTAGAAAGGGTATTCTCGCTTCCCCTCCTCTGACTAGACTCCACAGTGTAAAGGGGCAGGGGGAGGTGAGGCCATAGTTGGAGGATGGAGAAGAGAACATTGCTTGGAGCCCTTTTCTCCCCCTAGGCTCCAGCTGTAGCAATAGTTTAGCAGTGGCTGAGTGAAGATGATTAATCTGGATGATTGTGACCTCAGAGAATAATGAAGAGACACTCATCCCTGCTTTGAAACAAACTACCAGAAATAGCACTCATTCATTCGTTCATTCAACAAATATGTATACAGCACCCACCACTTGATTTGTGTTAAACACATAGATCATTCCTTTGGATACATCCTATAATCGTCAATCTGCTAAGTGATGGATAATTTTCATAAAGTGCCTACTGAACACACCTAAAAACTGGATATGATAAATGAGGGGCAGAATGTGCTAGGATTTCATCAGTTTTGCTGTGCTCTTACCAGTATGGAAAAATAACAGTAGAAGATTACTTACTATATTTTAGCTCCCTGACTTTTACTCTGTGCCCTATTTTCTATTTTGCTTGCTCTGAGTAAATCTTATCAGTTTTTCTAACCCCACCATGGTAACCTGATTTCTCCCTTTTCTACTAACTAGGGCAAAATGAAGGCACATGTATTCTGTTCTGATGCATCTTCACAACCTTGACTTGCCAGATTCTCACTAACCTACATCTGGGTGACCACCAGTCTTCTCACTGGTCTCTCAGCAATTTCACGTACCACCTGCAGACTTATTATATTTGTACTTCTTTTTCATAGTGTCAACTACCATCGAATTTTTCATTTACTTGTAATTATACAATTAAAATTGGCCTCCTCCACTGGACTATAAATTACATGAAAATAGAAATAAAGTTTCACTTTGCTCCTTGTGAATTTGTGGTGCCTAGTCCAGCACCTAACAAGTATGACACATGTGAAATGTCTACTGAGTATAGAAATAGTATTTTTAAATATAGATTTTTCTTATTTATCGCTTGGAGTCAATACTCCGCTTCGCTTTACTCAAAGTCAAGAGGCTTCTTAAACGAAACCCAAAAGCCTCAGCTTGATGATAATGGTCCTTCATTAATCGCACCCTCATTCTCTTCACTTTCAGGGGGTACCCCGTTCAAGGAAGGTGCCTCTCTTTCCTCTCTTTAGAAAATGTTGTGGTTATTTCCACTCCTCTGCATTTTCCCATGTTATATTCTAAATCAAGTTCTGTTCCTCCAAATCATATGACAAATACAGTGACAACTGTATTATTTCCAAAGAATTTGGATTTTAGAATATTGTCAGATAAATTCTTTTAAAAATCTTCATTTGTAGTAGTAAGTAACCATGACCTAATTAAGTGGCTTCTAAATATGGTGACACAAACATAGCAATTACACTAATTTCAGGAATTAAACCAAAATTTGAGAATTTAAATCCATTTTACCTTAAGAATAAAATGCACTGGATGGCCCCTTAATAAAGTAAAATGACTTTTAATTCTCAAATTTTGTTTGTTCTTGTATAAAGTAAAAACAGACTATGAATGAAAATATGACCACTTCTTGTAATGATTAATTCATCCACAAGACCATTTTTAGCTGTCTGCTTTAATCTAAACTTACAGTTCATTAGCCCCTTTGAGCTTCCAACAGTATATTATAATTTTTAAGTGTTCTGTGAACAAATATTTTGAGCTAACTCTGATGTAATGTATTACAAGGCAAGTGAGGAGAGTGGTTTTTAAAAGGAAGCATGAACAGTAGTATCAGATCCTAGAAAGGTCAAGGAGAATGAAAAAAAAGAGCAGTCGATGTTAGTGACTCTCCTTATTCATAAACATTTACAGAAGAACTTTAAAGCATCTAAAATCAAATTTTACACTGTTCCAAGATGGATATGTCAGCAATATTACTCCTCTTCCACAGACAGGAGAAAAAAGACTCACTCAAAATAATTGTACATAATAAAGTTCTTCTAATTTTGCCTTTCCTGTTTTTGTTGCCAAATAAATCTAGATTAAGTTTCCCTCTCCCAAAACTGTGGTGCCATGGCAAGGGTATCATTAAGTATAATATATAGTAAAATAAAACTGTACAGGCATGAAAAGCCTATAAATCATGCACACACACATTCAAGAATTACACTTTTTGTGTCATAGAGTAAGTTGTAGTATGGAAGAGTAAGATGTTTGAAGATGAAGGATCTAGGTTTTTGATTGGGGCCCCCAAACTTATTAATAGTGAGATTTTCAACAAAATTTGGAAATTTATTTATCTGAGGTGCTGTGAAGAGTAGATGAGTTTACTAATGTAAATTTTCAAAACATCACACGATGTTGCTGTGAATTCATTATAAATATGCCAATATTGTGAGAACTGGATTGTATTGTAAGAGGAAAGAGCAGAGGCATTTCTAACAGAAGCGCTCACTTACTGAGCATTTAGTATGAGCTAAGGACTGTACTAAGGACTTAAGTTCTCTCATTAACTCCTCACACATACCCAATGTGGTAGATACTATATTAGGTAAAATCATGGGAACTAGCCATTTCTGTAGATCAGAAATGATCAGTTATCAGGAATTTCATATGGTTTAAACTATCGTCTACCCATACTGGAGAAAGTAAAACACAGAGAGACTAAGTGATCTAAGTTAAAACAGCCAGTACCAAGCCATGTGGGTTTACGTCAGTGACTAACATGCTATATAAATGCCTAGCAAGGAAGTATTTGCATGAATTCATGCATGGTATCAGAGAATATACAAAAAGTCAAGAACCGATGCCACAGCAGATTCACCAAATTCAACAATCAAATGTTTACATTAATTAAAATAGCCCATGTTTGTTCCTGCTTCTGGGATTACCCTTCTCCTCAATGAATTCTTCCTCACCTTCACTGGGCCAACAAATATTTACTCAAGATCAGGCTCAATATCTAACCTCCCAGAAGGAGCTTCTTTTCCACTCTACCCCTAATTCCTAACTGCACGTCATCTCCCTTTTTAATAGCAGTTTGCCTTTTAATATATCTGATTACTTTCAATAAAAGTTTCCTGAAGCTCAACAAATGTTCATTTTGAGGTGCATACCAAGTCTACTATATATATAATAGGAGTAAAAAATTACAACCACTTCTAAGGGAATGGTTGATAAAATCTCTGATCTCTCCGGTTTAAGTGTTCTCTTTAAGCTCATCTGAAAACCGCCCCACGATACTGTTGTATTATTACTCACTGTTTCATATGCATACGCCTTGTCTCTGGAACTACAGTTTAAGCTTCTCAAGGTCAAAAATGAATTCTTATTCTTTGACTTCACACACCGCCCAGTAAGCAAGTCGTATAAATCAATAGGCCTTTAATTAATGGACATGAAGAAAAATGAGCAGTTTGGGGAAAAGCCCTTGAGAAGGAAAAGAAACTAAGATAACAAAGAAGAAGGGGCGCTTATGCATTAACACCTGCTTCAGAGTACGGAAACCAGCTGGTATTTCAAAGCCTTGGTAAATACTTCTGTTGTTTTTTTAAAGAGGTGTGTACGAAAGCACCAGCGTGACCGCGCATTGGCTGGGAAGCGAGACGGAGCGCAGTCGGCGGCACTAGGTGGAGGTGGCGCGGCCCCGCGCGCAGTGCTCTGACCGGCAGGGGGCGCTTGATATTTTCAGCAATGATGATATTAGCATCTGAGTATTGTTATGGAATCAAAAGCAATGTGAAAAATATTACCTAATACACACACAGACATAGTATTGAACATGACGTATTATGTTATAATTTTATTATCTATTATTTTGATACTATTTTGATGTTAAGAATTTAGTAATTCTAGGTATAATGTGATTTCTTTTACTACAGATGTCCTCCTCGTACTTTCTTACCAGCCCTCTGCAAAATTTTTCTTGATGAAAGTGCTCCAGACAACGTGTTAGAGGTAACAGCCCGTGCCATAACATACTACCTGGATGTGTCTGCAGAATGCACCCGAAGGATTGTTGGGGTAGATGGAGCTATAAAAGCACTTTGTC